GCTTTGAAGACCACCCCCCCCCAGGAAAACCTCAGGTTGAGACCTCTAGGACTGCAGGAACCTCCAGCCAGGACGCCCCAAACAGTCCTCCTACAAGCAAGCAAGCAAGCCGGAGCAAGGGGACGCCCGGCCACTCCATTGCCTGAGTCCCTTGGCTGGTGGGAGGGAGGAGAAAGTCAGGGACAGATTTGACGCAAAACAAAGCTGCTGGCAGAGGGGCACAGAAGAAGGCCCCTTCCCCCCCCCCGGGTCACTCACCTCTTTTATTTTTGAAACGTTTGGGTCATCTAGTTTTGCTTTTTGGCCGTTGGCAAACTTGAGGGTCTCTGCGATGTAGTGGTACGCCTGCCCCATCCGCTGCGGGGTGCTCAGGGACTCCGAGGTGAAGTTGAACCCTGGGAGGCAGGAGGAGCTGGAGGTGAGCCTCAGCCTGGCCCCGGCGTCACCTGGCCGGGAGGAGTGCCCTCTCCTCCCACTGCTTCCAGGTGTTTTCCTCCCTTTCTCTAATCTCAGAACCAGGCACATCCTAACTGTTCCACAGGTTGCGTACAGCGGTTCTGCCACTCTAGAGGCCTCTGCAATCTGTTCGGGCACAAGACATGCTGCACCCCCCCTGCACCCCCCACCCCCCGCCAGGGCCAGGCTGAGCCTCTCCACCCAACCCTCTCCTTCCTGGTCTGCTGTGCCCTGTGATGGTGGCATAATTGGAGGAAAGAGGTGGCCGGAGAAGGGCGCCAAAGGCCATCTTTCCCCTTGATGGAGGGGGGGGGAATCCCACATGACCGAGCGGATGCCTGTAGAGGAGGAGGAGCATGAAAGGACTGTGCTGCAGGATCAGGGCAAGAGAGGAGAGAGGGAGCCACACAAGAACGAGGCAGCCTTGCCCAGGGTTGCCTCTGGCTCCTGGGCCACTGGACGCCCTGACCCATCAGCCCCGTGATGCCAACCTCCAAAGGGGAGCCAGCCTTGAAGTCATCAACGGCCAGCCTTGCCAGTCGTTTTCAAAACCTAAATCGATTTGGCTGTGTATGCGTTCGAAACGGCCAACGAATGGCCAGGAAAGGAGCGCTTTGAAGAGGGAAAACGGCCACCAGCCTTCCCCCGCGTCTGCCTCAGGGGTTGGCCAGGCAGGCCTCAGGCCAGGTCGAGTCGTGGGGCCAGGCTGTGGCTACTCCTCACTTGCACCACCGGCAGGAAGCCCCACATCACCCCGTTGCTTACCTTCAAGCACTTTGAGGATGAAGGAGAGGATTGGGCCCGCTGCAGGCCGTGGGGCAGAGTACAGGGTGTATCCGCCCAGCGAAGTGACCACCGGGGCCACCACCTCCACCCGATAATTACGGAGGTCTTCCAAGGTCAGTTTGCCACCTGGGAAACAACACACAAGAAGGACGGATGAGAAGCGGGACGGAGGTGGGTGGAGAGAGAGAGAGAGAGAGAGAGAGAGAGAGAGAGAGCTTGTGGAAGGGCTGGAGGTGGGCTCTTTGGAAAGAAGAGGGCCAGTTTCTCACTTGACCCCTCAAAGTCAGAGAAGACTCCAAAGAGGACTAAGGCTGTCCCGCTGCTGCTGCCACCACTCTGCCCACTGCACCCATAAACACCTCGCACACGGCCATGTACAGCATGCACAGGAATGTTCAGCTCCTCTTTTCAGCAGATCTGGAGGTGAAATTGCTGAGATCTTGCAAGAAACGTACTTGTTTATTTAAAAATATTTTTACTCTGCTTCCCCGCCCCCTAAAAAGGACACCAGATGGATTACATCAGTAAGACACAATGTTTGAAAGCTAAAAACAGTCAGTGTACAAATATTTAAAAAGAATCAAATAATGGCCACACAAAAACGGTAGGACGTAACTTGCTTGTTTGTCATGAACTTTGCTTAAGGATGACCCGAGGAGGCCCAGGAGAAGAAGGGGAACACAGCAGAAGGCGTTAACCCCAAGACTCCGAGCCCGGCCTCAAGGCCCCTCCCGTACCCCTCCAGGCCTGCAGACCTCTCCGCGCCCCGGGGCCTCAGCATCTTGCAGAGGAAGCCCTCTGCTGCTCCCCAACTGATCCATCCCAAGGCTAAAAAGGAGCCCATCTTCCAAAGGAAGGTCGAGGGAAGCTTCTGTTGGAATAAACCGAACAGCCTTCCCCCTGCGAGGACGCCCTGCCCTAGAGGATCCCTTTGTTCGTCCTTAGCTTGGTTTCAATCGAAAGATGGGCTACCTGCGCTGCCGGCTACTTTGGCTCCAGACGCCAGCCTTGGCAGCTGTTCTGAAGGCAGAGAAAGGAACAACGGAAGGAAAAGGCGGCCGAAGGGGGAAGCAAACAGCCCGCCGTTCCTTCTGTCGGGATCAAGGAGACAAAGCCAGGCAGGAACAAACCGCCTGCTGGGAGTCAACCGGGAAGAGCAAAGGCCGGGCAAAGGGGGGGCTGAAGGGACTCCTCTGGCTGTTTGTCCGGACCGGGGCCTGCCCTGTCGCGTGACCCCCATTGTCCCTCTGTGGTCCTGAGGGGCATTTGGCTGATTGGGAGACACGCGTCAGTCGGCCGGCCGTGGGAGGGGTTGTCCTGGAGGCAGAAAAGAAGCCAGCAGGGTCTGCCCTGTGCCAGCGCAGAGAAGAGGGATGGGAACGGTCCAGCAAGGGTGTAAATAATATATATTGATGGATCATGTTCAGGGTGGGGGTAGCAAGGGCACACACACAAAAAACTGGCCGGTCCTGTTATGCCGAACCAAATAAGGCTGTGCAGCGCATTCTCCTCTTCCCCCAGAAGGCCTGGAACAAAGCCGTACGCTCCTTTCTTATCACGTTTTTTCCGAGGGGGAGAGGGAGAGCCAAACGGTGGAGGGGGTTTCAAAGAGGGCCCCCTTGGAATGTGTCGGTGGGGGGTGGGCAGTCACAG